TTCTTCAAAATGGTATCTTGATGAAAACCAGTTAAGTGCAAAATGAAAATGTAGAGCACACAAAAGCATACCTGAGTGGAATAAACTTCTGTTGAGTCTCATTTCAGCCAACATTGTAGTAAGGAAGCTTGTCATGAGCATCAACAAAATAATCAGAAACAGATCCTTTGTCAGTAGTGCCTCTTCCTAACAGAGGCGTAGTCTTGGATCAAACTGGGGTAAGAGGCGGCCTTCTGGTAACTGTGTATAAGAGACAGGGTTATTATATTTTCCTTTTTAGCATTTGAAGGTTATACGATAAAGAATGGTAATTATTTGCTAAAAACAAAAGATAACAGTAAAAGTGTCAACTGTTTTGCAATAAATGTTGTAACAATTACCTAATATTACATGTATAACCCAAACTTCAATCAATTTCTAATTTCTAACTATGACTAGATTTTGAGTTTCACTTTTTTATTTTTATTTTTTAGTATTTAGTAACTAATATTATATTTAAATTAAATTTATAAAAATGTTATAATTAAAATATCATGTAATATTCTAAATTTATAATATGATGCATCATTATATAATTAATTTTTTTATTTAAGTATTTATTCATAATATTATATGTATTTATTCATTTAATATTACATCATGTTTCATTTAATGCCATAAAAAATTATAAATTTATAGTCTTATATGTGTTATAACTATAACATTATCATTAAATTTAATAAACTCCAATTATAATTAATTTGAATTTGAATATATAGTACAAGTCACCATAAATAAGGAAATGGAGATAAAAAAACCGAAATTAAGAACTCAACCATACAAAACTGTCTAATGGTTATAAATTATTTATTATGATTTTTATAAAATTTGTAATTTTAAATAAAAAACCTTGTTTAGTTATATGTGTTATTGTAACATGCATTATTATAATTATAAGAGAATTAAAAACAAAATTAGTTTAAATATTATTAAATAAGTTTTAATTGTTAGTATCTTAAATAATTCATTAATTTATAATTTCAATTTCAGTCCTTATTATAAAAAACGCACCCATATGAAATGTATGCTTTTTAGTTTTTAATATAATTCATCAAAAGTTAAACTCTTATGATAGGGATTGAATAATTTTAATGAGAATTTTCAACTCATTAGAAGAAAATTATTACACCTTATGTGCTATGCTCTGTCACACCACTTCACATTGATAGCAACCAAACCAGAATTCAACCAAACAAGACCATAAACGAGTGCACGAATCACACCAACTTATTCGTAAGGACTGAAAAAAATTAAATTTACGAAACATTCAAATCATTCATTCCTTGAATGAGTGCAAGAATCACACAGACTTTTCTTAATTAAAAAAATAATAATGACACAGTAACTCCTGTCCTTCAATATTCCTGATATAATATGAGTGCATAAATAATAAATTGTTTCAACTTGCAAGTCGAAATGGATAAAAAACAAAAATAAATTAAAAACAGAATTTATAACCGTACTTGGCCCTTAAAACCAGTGATGTCATGTTACGTATAAGTATATTTTTCATTTTAAGACAACAATTCGCATTCTTCTTTTTAGAACAACAGTTCGAATCTTACCTCTTACGAATTTGTTCAAAAAAAAAAAAAAAAAACAGAATTTATAACGGTATTATTCTTCTTTCTTATAAAGTTGCAGATCTCTGAGTACCAATTCTAGCTGAATAACTTGGAATAATCTGTGCCATCTTCAATGTTTTTGCAAACCATGCATCCTAAGGCTATGATGAAGCAAAAGCTTCACAAAATGAACCATTTGACGATGATGTTTCATGAAGTAGTTGGGTGTGATTGGGTCAGAAGCCGTTATGTGGGCATCATGGATTGTCTTTGAAAAAGCTTGTATTATTTATATCCTCAAAAATAAAGTCCACAAACATTCACTCCCACCACAACTTGGAAGGGAAGGAATGTCCACAAATGAAAAAATGGAACTGCACAATAAACAGGAGCTCCAAATTAATTGAAAGGCTTTGCCCATACCCAAGAACACAACTGGCATTTGGTGCTTTCCAACTGCTCCCATGTTGAAAGTCTTAAATTCGAATCCTTTAGAAAAGGTTTGATCAAGAGGGTCATTTCTCATCGTCTGATCTGATGTACCCAGTAAAAGCAGTTTTAAAGCAGCGGGAGGTCATGGCAGTGGATGCAGGTCCACGGCAACAAAGGAGGGTCTAGACAGTAGGTATGGATTCTTCGAATCTGGCAAAGATGGCAGCTGATCAGCAAATCTTCAGGTTCTCGAGAACGGCATTTAGTGCAAGCTGGAGCCAAGGACTGTTAAAGCAAAGAAAAGAATTAGCAACAAGAATTCAACAATCTCAATCAAAAAGAGAGAGAGAGAGAGGGAGAGAGAGAGAGAGAGAATTCAATTATTAATCTGAACCTCTGGAACTGGAAGTGTCACTAAATTAGAAAGAGGGAACTTAGGGTCCTCTGCTCGTACGGAAAGGTTTCAAAATGGCAAAAGAAATAGACAACAACTGGAACCAAGCCAAGATGATCTTTTCTTGTACATATAATCATTACCTGAGCACCAAAACTGGGTCTTCCCGGATCAGGAAGAACAAAAACATCAATAGCTGAACTGGAACATGGAAGAGTTTGGGAGTACATCTTTTGATCAGAGATTGTCGCATCCTCCATCTTAGTAATGCTCACAAAACTGGTCGTGCATATAGGACAAGTTGGAACCTTTCTGCTTGCGGTCTGTTTCCAACATAAACAGTTACTTCCAAATTAGATCAAAAGTAATACCCTGACAGGAAAACATCGAATCACCACGCAATCCTTATGAACGAAAAGATTCAAGTCACAAGAGTAGGAAATACAGATTCAGTAGGTTTGGTTCTAATTTTTTTTTTTTTTAAGAAAAATGGAATTCTTGGTGAAAATGAATAATAGCAACAAAAGAAATCTAGAAAATATGAGGATCATGAATTCATGACAGCCAGCTGTATGTAGTTCCTAATAGCACAATTATACAGAAACATTGGACTTCTTTTTCCACTTCTCTTATGGTTCACAACTTCAGAAAACATTCAAATTTAGCATATAGTCTTAGACTCTTAGTAGCTCTATACCAGGAGAAAAGCAGCAAAAGAAAATGCTAAATTGAAGGGTTGGCTTCTTTTCTTATGTTACAGTGAAAATTCTCCCTTTTTTTGGCCAATGGAGAAAATTCACCTTGTTTTGCCAAATCCAATGACTGAATCAAACTAACAGTTGACCATTAGAAGGGAATCTGATTTCTATAGTGCAAACTGTTTAAAATATATAATTAAGGCTTTCTTTTGAATAGTTGCTGAGTCAAATATCAAATTACTAGAACAATAAAAATCTCTAAAGTCAAACACAGCAAAGGTATAATGGAAGAAAAGCTTAGAAGAATTGGCAGGAGTGCCAATTATAATATAATATATGAAATTAAAATGGACAACTTGCGAACGAGAATGAAGGAATGTGAGGAGAATCCATACCAAACTGTATGCCCACTTCTGGATGCATTTGTAACAAAATCGATGTCCACATGGTAAAACCCCTCTCGTCTCACTAAACTCTTCAAAGCATATAATACATGATATCTCCTCTGTCTGATCCGCTTCTTGGCTCTCCCCATTTATGTTCTCGGCATTGGAGCATCCTTCTAGTGAAATTCTTTTAGAGGAACATGCTGCATCCATTGCAGATGAACTTCCATTCTTTAACACAGGTGAAAGGCTCCACTCTTTGATTTCCTCAATGTCTTGATCATCATCTGTTGTTTCCCTATGCATGCCAAAGTTACAATCAAATGTTCCTTCAATTTCAGAAATGCCAACATTCCTTTCAACTAGTGAAAGGATGGATGGAGCCATGACTTTGTTATATTTCTTAGGTGCTGCAGTTTGGTACCTGTCTTGTAGAGAATCTGAAAGTTCTGACCCCAAACTTTCTACAAAAACATGCTTCTTCACAAGCTTCCGACCTTTACGTGAAGATTCTACCAAAGAATGGCCTTCAGTACAATTAAAAGTGTTCTTTTCTTCCATCCGTGATTGCATGGAAGACTGATAATTTGAGTTTTCCTTCTTTGAGAACTTTCTTTGGCCCCTCAAGGACTGCATGGAAGAAGTTGACTCTTCATTCTTTTCAAGCAAAATGAAAAATAAATAAGTCAAAACACAGATAATCAGAGGTGGCCAAAAAAAAAATGCAATGTAAGTAGTTTCATACAAATATAAATGTCAAGCAAAAAAGAACAGCCATCATCCGTGATTATTAAAAATTGATCTAAACTCATGAAGCAAGTCAAAGCAGACAACACTGAGAAATGAGAATGTATAAATTATACATGGCCCAAGTATCAGTAATGGATTTGCTTTGATCTGAATCCAGTTTTGGTTAAACAGTAGTGCTATCTGGATCCGAGTCAATTCATTTTTCTCCCCAAAATTCCTATTTGTTCTACTCATCCCCCCTTCCCTTTCTCTTCTTGCCCTAATAAATTAATCATCATATTTCATTGGACCATTGAACAAATTTATTTCACTCCAATCTATTGTCATGTTGAACTAAATCATGATTGCAGCGACAGAAACAATGCACAGCTGTGAAAGGTTCTAGTTAAGATTAGGGAAGTACTGAAATAACAATTTCTGTTAAAACAGATTTTTTTTTTTTTTTAAAACTTTTCAGCATGAATACTTTGATGGGTTAATGTGCAAATGAGAAACTTGGACAAAAATTTAACAGCTTTACTGCTGCATGTTTAGGACTTTAAGTGGATGGATCATAACATCCATTACCGCTTTTCTGTCTGATCCAGATAAATTAGTCTCCTGAAAGCAGTTCCTGCTACTTGACCGATTCTCCTTCTTTGTAGCTCTTGTTTCTGGTTTTGACTTCAGTTTATGAGAACTACCATTGCTTGTCCCAGGAACAGAGAACAAATTCTGAAAAAAAGAAAAAGGTACATGATTCCCACTGACAGCAGAGAAATGCCTTGTAAAAGAAGTATTGCTGTTCATTAGAAACAATTATAGATTAGAGGAGAATACAATCTTGCATTTAAAGCCTGCCGTTCACTCCTTTGCATAAAAATACTCTTTCCTTCCCATCAGTTGTGTCATATATTAGCTTATAATTAACAACAAAAACCCATATGCCAGGTGAATTCCACTATGTATCCAAGTAATGCACAAATAATTAACTCATCAACCAATAGTATTCATATGACTGCCATGATTATCAAAATTCAAAATCCAATTATCAAAATCACAGCATCATCAATTAAAGTTTAGTCTTGTTTCATGAATTCCTAAAGAAAGACAGAAGTGAATATGAAATTAATATATAAGCACCTCATCCAACAAAGGACACTTGACCCAAGCTAAGTCCAAACCTCCATAGCCAACATCAAATGCCTCTTTTCTATAGTTTCCACGAATATTGGATCCCTCAGAGAATACTTTGCGCTTCTTACACAAGCTATCCTCCTCAGCATCAACTGGGACTTCCAGAACTAAATGCCCCACTTCTTCTCCACTAAAATTAAAAATTCAAAGCAGTTTAAGCATTTAAATCAACTAAACCACCAGAAATGCTCGCCTCTAAGGTAATATCAATGTCTTCAACAAATTTGAGAAAAATAAATACCTCTGCAGCATATATGAACCCTCCGGAACACGCTTTCCTTGCTTTATGCAATCTTCCACCCAACGATGGTTAACAATTATTGTCCCCAGCTTCTTAGCGAGCTCGTATTTCTTTCCTCCAAATTTCCAGCATACCTAATCTCCCCAAAAAAAAAAAAAAAAGCACATCTGAAATCAGCCATTACTGTTAATTTCCATATCAAAATTCAAAGTAAAAAATACAAAGACCGGAGGTAAAACATACCAAGTGAGTAATTGATGGAGACATTGCACCGACGTAACTCGCTCCGGCATGGGAGATGAGCTTGATCAGGTTGAATCGGTCGGAGCCATGGTAGCCGCTCACCGTTGCCACGACGGAGTCCATGATTTTAGGGGGAAATACTCCTAGAATTGTTTCATCGGAGAAAGTGGAGAAGATTGTAGGTACTAAAAAGCATCAGAATTCAGAAGATT